GAAAGTTCTAATAAATAAATTGCCCCTTAGTAAAGGTATTTTGTGGATGACGTTTCATAATGCACAAAATTCACTATAAAAAAAATTACCAAACTTGTATGGATTAAATCACTTTTACCAAGTGAGAAAAGGTCGATTTTAGAAGTCACTCAGAACTGAATTTCATCAAGTATAAAATGAAGAATTTTAGCAGTTGTGCAAAGGGAAACTAGAAAACCTATGCTGAAAATTTTCTGTCGAAATATAAAAAGATCTATTTTATACATTTTCATTCTTAAACTTAATATGCGTAGTTATCTTAATATGCATAGCTGTCTTCATATTTTCATACGGTTTCCGTAACATTTAATACAGCAATTTCAAACGTTCGAAAATTCTGTTTTTTTTCCCTCCTTTCCCAAAGGGCGTTAACCCAGAAGGGCTATTAATTTCGTTTTGGTATTTTGCGGCGTTTCACTGCAAACGATTTTTCACTTTTCAAATTATTGCAACCACATATTAGAGCCATGCATGATATTTAAAGAAATTAAATAATGAAGAATCTGCATGAAAGTATGTATGTTTCACGTACTGTGAAAAAACAACGGTACCTACAATCAGACATCAAATTTTGGATAACGTAGTCGTCCATTCGAATACTGGCACCTGGAAGCCCGAATTTGGAATTTGTTTTATTATCTATTTCATATTTTGTAAACCTTTTATTATCTATTTCATATTTTGTAAAACTTTTATTATCTATTTCATATTTTGTAAAACTTTTATTATCTATCTCACATTTTGTATATTTTGTAAAACTTTTATTATCTATCTCATATTTTGTACATTTTGTAAAAATTTTATTATCTATTTCATATTTTGTAAAACTTTTATGAGATTTCGATTAACAAACTCAACGATTTCAAAGCGAGCAATGGCAACATTGGAAAAAAAAAAAAAAAAATCGCCAGTGCGCGTCGGAAATTCGATCGAAGAGCATGATATTTAATAAATAAAGGTAATACACAAAACGTTTAAAAAACCCCCATTTGGGCGTAATATAAAATCTGAAAGCTTTCGAATTTTCTTTAATTTGTTTTACCCCATGTGTGTGTGTGTATGCATGTGTGCTGTGGCATTTTGCCAAGAAATTTTTTTATTAATATTTTCTTTCCCAAGCTGTGCTGTATACAAATTTAAGTACATTTTTACTGAAGTGTGGCGTAACCAGTACTGAAGTAATTCGAAAGTCTAGCTTATTTTATTTTTTTTAATTAATACGAGTAACTGATACTATTGTTCTACCAGAGCTGCCTTTCGGAGAAATTTTCTCTCGCGATATTGTTTAGCCATACTGAATAACTTCATATCATGCGATATTCTTATAACACGTTGTATTATTCCTAACATATATGTTAACGTTTATTTTATGTTCTGTGTCTATGTTATTTCATATTTTTTCACAAAAGTTCTAATAAAATATTGTTGATATTGTTTTCCGATCAGTTAATGAATTGATAAATATGAAATCAGTTCTTTCCTTTGTCATTGCGGCACACTTAAAAATGGCACTAACATTTAAACGACACTAATTTCAAGCAACAAATGATAAATTCATATTTTAAAGGCATGTTAAAATGATTTCAATTTTATTACAATTATAAATGAATTATTATGAGATAAAGTTATTTATTCTTTACTTACTTACTACGTATCTTCAACTATATTTATAATTTTCAAATAAAAAGGAATTTCTTAAACGAAACGTTTACATTTTAATGAGATATTTTTTATTGTTTAGTGAAATTCTGTCATATCAGAAGGCTACTTCATTTTCTTGACCTAAGTTTCTAAAGGTGATATCGAAATAACGTTTTTTATGTTTAGCATTGACACCATTAATAAAGTTATTTATACTATTATTCTTTGAAGCTATAGAAAATAAGAATTCAGTAGTTTATTATAATTCTTTTTATAGCATGCTTGTTCGGGTAAGCTAAATTAAATAACTAAATAACCCATTTAAAAAATTCATAAAATCTTTGTTGTAATACCAATCTCAATACCAAACTAAATATCGCACTGACGTGACACTGAAGCCATATCAAACTTGTTGACAGCGAACCCTTTTAAATGAACGCTAAAATCCAATTAAATGTAACACTAAAATAACAACGAAATCCTAGTTTTATCCTCTGAAAATAATACCGAAATCCTTTTGAATTTCTAACCCCGATGTAAACAATAACATATAAAATGTTCTATCATGTTCCTTCTTAAACTAGATTGCATCATTAAACTTAGATAATGTAATTCAAGGGCCATCTCTTTAACTCGATAGCAAATGTGATAGATATCTTTATTACCTTGAGGAACGGTCTTTTCCCCCTCAAATTAAGGGTTTATTACAACTAATTAAAAGTTAATTAAATCATTATAATTATAATAAAAAGTTAACTATTTCATTATAATTTTTCATTATTATTGAAATCATTACAAATTTCATTATAATTATAAGATATGCATACTGTCCGAAGAAGCATTTTAAAATTCATAACATAAAAAGCAACAATGTGTAAGAATGTCAATCGTGGTAACATATAGAATAATTAAAAAAGAATTTAACAATCAATTTCAGATTTCAAAATCAGTTTCCGATAAATAAAATATACACTTAAAACTAACTTTTTGTGAATTTCTAATCACCTTAAATGAAATTAAATCGAGTGAGTCTAAAGTACTCAAATTCAAAGTTATTGTAATTCCCAGTCGCGTCGAATTCGATTTATCCAACTCTTCGCTAAATAATAAAAATTTATGATTTAAGAGAAAAGTTAGCCTATTATCGATGAAATTTAACAGGATCTCTTTTAGTGTATGAAAAATGTGCAGACTTTGGAAAATTAAGTTATCTGCAAAAGTTCTCTGATGCCTCTTCTTTGGCCTATTCTTTAGATTTGACACATAGCGATGGATGAAACACTTTCCGGTTTATATGGCAATATGCCAATCAAAGTCGCGCTGTCCGCAATCAACCTGTATTTGATTTCCATTTGATCTCTAAGTTGGTATAAGACCGGAGAACACATTCTTCAACACCTCACCGAATACAACATTTCCGGGAATTTGTGTTTCAGGAATTTTATGTGGCTGGGAGCTATGATCCTTCTTTCTTATAACTGGTTGGTCTATGCAAAACTCAATATTTTCCTCATTGTCATAAAAAACATGGAAATAAAAATGGCGTTCGAATTAGTGTTGAAGAACGCAGTTCTATGAAAAGTTGTTCGTCGCGTTTCGCGTTCGCAGTTGTGATACGGATATCAATACGATAGCTATGCGTCAGAGATGGGTAACACAACTACCTAGTTTTGACCCTTGTATACATAAAGATCCATATGTAATGATTCCAAGAATTACAATAATTTTATTGCATTGCAAAATTTTTAATTTGTGGAAAGCAATTGATTCAAGAGTCAGAAATATCATACGGATAACGGGATCTTGAAAACAGCGGTATAATTCAGTCATGGCTACTTTCTTACTGTTAAGCATAGTTACGTTTCATAAACCTCTTCTTATTTTATCAGTTACTTCAAGTATTAGATAAATATGCATTTAAATGAAAGAAACTTTTCGTGGAGATCGATGATCACTCAGGATAAAATTTTAAAAGCTGACAGAATGTTATACCTGTGCGTTGAATTTAAAATCAAAAATAGAATAGTGGCATCTTGAAGGCATTTAATATTTTATATAGCTCTGATATTCTTCAACGTACAGCGCAGCATTAGTATTAATATGGTTTATTTTTTCAAATATGATCAACAACAGTGACTGGATGAATTGTTTTGTACATTTTTATCATAACCGTGATTTTACTCTTGCATAATTTATAGTTTAGTCTCTTTCAAGCGGCAGGCTATTCAGAAACTGCTAATTAGAATTTACATGTTAAAAAATTGGTAGAAACAATTAACTACTGCACATATTTAAACAGATGTGAAGTCAAAATTGTACATTCTAGTTAAAGGACGAGTTGATAGATTAAACAGTTTTACAGAATAAAATCATGAATTTTGTTATATTTTTGTGAAGCAGTTTTCAGTCAAAATTTTAACTATTTCTTGCGTGAAAACTGCTTCACAAAAATCTAACACTCTGCACCCTTAACACCTAATCCAACATGTGACCTTCAGATAGCTGAAACTTCGCGTTAAACTTACACTGCAAGAGGACATGAGAAAAATTTGTGATTTTTTACTTCAGATTGACTCCGCCATCTCTGAAAGCGACTGAGTTTAGGTAGGACAACCACTAGCAAAGTAATTTAAGTTTAGGAGATGAGTTATCTTTTAGCATGTGCTCCGGATATCTGCCTAAGGGGAGGAATGCCTTCGTGGAGGACTTTCTAAGGAAAACTAGCTCCTATGTACATTACACAAGGGGAAAAGCACGAAAACGCCCATGCAGTCACCCCATTCGCTGGGATTCGAACTTACACATTACTGGGACCGAATTATCAGTGTTCAGCGACTTTACCGTCCGACCGCTGGTGGGCTAAAAAATATGGTAGTTGTATACATAGATTTTGTTGAATTCATTCGATCATTTTCAGCTTTTTCAGGACTAACAATACTTTCTCTGCAGTCCTGACTCAAACAAGAAAATCCTCTGAACTTGAATTAACCATAGCATCGCAAAGGAATGAAATATGTACATTATAGAAGAAAAGATGCATATAAAAATTTATGATTTGAGCATTTATATGAGTTTAAAAAAATTGTTCGCGCAGATTTTAAGTTTTACGAATTATTCAGTTACTTCTCTAAGCAAAATTAATATCCTTCTATAATATCTCATGGAACGATCCTACCATCCTTGAATTAAATAAATTCTCAAATGATTTAGAAAAGTGCATTCCATATGGAACAAAACGATAGGTTTATGTTAATTTACTCGCAGAAATAAATAAACACCGCTGTAATTGAAACATTTAAAGAAGAGAGAAAAATACTCACTGTGAAGCGAGATCAGAGGCGCCACCGGTTGTTATGGTAGTCCACTGTCACATTGACAGTCACGAACTACTGACAACAAACGCCGAAAACAGTCCTCTTCGTACTATTTTCTGAGCTGCAGTCACTCGATCGTATCGCCAACGCAACGCGGTAACCAGAAATTCTCCTCCGCCGCGAAAGCGTGACGCATACAAATCCCGAACTAGGGCTCGCAGTCAACAGGTCACGATTGGCGGTATTTGGCGGCGGAATTTCAGCCATTTTTGACTAAAGATCTCCCGCCTTTTATTGAACCGGCGAAATGAGCGTACCGCGGTTTTCGATGTAAGTTGTTTTTTGCTTATATATTTGCTTATATTACGCCAACGCTGAATGAAGGAAATCATGTTCGTAGGGGATGAGACAGATTGTATGTGGATTCTTGACTCATAACTTGTACTGATGAATTCTTGACTCATTACTTGCATTGAAGGAAAAGAATCATACAGCTATTCAGTATAAAACTGCAGATATGTGTATTTCTCGGATTAAAGATTTGAAATTAAACTATAAATCGCGCTGTTGTCCTCATCCTATGTAAAATATTAAATTTAAATAAAAAATGCCAAATAAATTTTTTCTTTCAAAGTCATGAAATAATTAATCAAGTAAACGGCGAAAGATAATTTGTCATTAGTTTAATGGAAATAAGAGATTAAATGATTCTCTTCACAAAATTCATCTACAGTTTATATCACGAATAATACAAGTATTCACAAATAGTTCCTTGATAATCACGAATAATTCCTTGTTAATTAAATAAGTTAATGTCTTGCAGAGTCGTAGCTAGGGTTTTCAGCGCCCAGGGACAACTGAAGATTTCGCGCCCCCTACTGCTTGCCAAGGATGGAAAACATTTAATTCTAAAATGTCGTATCAGGTTCAATGTTTCTTCTTACCTTCTTCGGAAACATACAATGACCCTGACTAGAACAGAGAGCTTACTAAAGCTATGTTCACTAATTGTAGTAAGTAGACAGGATACAGACGAAGGGTATACAAAACCCTTTATTTTTCTTTATATACAATGACTTCCGTACTTCGGAATACAATGACCCTCCACTCGGGGTCTAACGTAAAAGATATCAAAATAAAACTAAACTCTAATTTAACTTTAGAATAAGATTGGCCTTATAATAACAGGAAGCGTATGTAGCACAGAGACTGTGAACACTACAATACGTTTAATTTATCAAGAGGATTAAAACCTCTGGCCTGGAAGGCAAATAGCAACTGCGTAACTTCTAAGGTAAGCGGCCTGCTTCGAACTCACTGCTTCCTCTCTCTGCTTGGCAAAAAGGCCACACTTAAATACTTGGCGTTCGCCAGACAACTTTGCATAAACTCCTTCACGCTTATAATTCTGGCCGGAAGTAGAAAATAAGAAGTGATAGTAAAGATTTAAAATAAAATAAACGTTAGTAAAACTTAAGATCCTTACATACTTCCCGCCAGAGTTAATTTGTTTGAAACTGAGGTCTAAAACGACCTTGTTGAAAACTTTTAACTCTAAAAACTAACGCGAGGCCAACCTTTTACAATCATAACTTAGCTAGAAACTAGAAAATTTAAAGAAAGAATTTGTTACAATAGCAGCTCCCGGGATATACAACAATCTTTTTTTCTTTTCATCTGTACTGCATCTAAACAGGAGCTTTATTCAATTCTGGTTCCTTCCAGAGATCTGGAAGGAAAACTAGTTTAATGAAATGTTACAGAATGACATTGCAAATAACATATAGAATATACTTTTCTTAACATTCTTATTTCATTCATGACTATTTTAATTATCTCTCCCCGTGCTCTCTGACATGTGTTGTAAAAGAACACCAACCACGAATGTTTCTGTCTACGTGTGCCACACTTCCTCCTACAATCAAAACACTAACGTGTTAAAATTCAACATACGAGACCTCTTAACACACCCTAATTTCAACTCTAAACCTGAGGTACTATTCTGAAAGTGGCTACTCTAAAGTGTAGCGTCAGAGAGCCTAACTACATCATTCAACCTTTAACACATATTCGTCATGATTAATCTTTTTACAGTCACACGAATAACAAATTTTTAACATTACTTTCACTTTTACCATATCACGGTATTTCTTTAACATTCAAAATAACAGTTCACAGTATATAAGAACATATCAAGATGCCGTTAATTCTACACATTTGAAAACTACATTAGTAGTACATTGTTAACTTCTATTCTTTTTCAAAGCAAGTGCCAATTCTTTCTACATTGAAATAATACTACATTTCAAAAGTCTTTCAGACTAAAACTTCTTTCTTGCTAGAATGTTTAAATAAAATTTATACAATAACTTTTTACAATATTTAAGTCTTTACACAACGCTATTATACATCAACTTTAGTTTTACGCGCGAGTAATTGAAAAACATAATATCAAAATCGGTCAACAACTCATTTCTCGCCCTTTTGGCGATAAAGGTAGACCTCGCATGAGGTAAAACTTCTTGAAAATCTGCCACTTGCAGTAAGAATGAAAGATTAACTTAAGTTTGTAAAGTAACATAAAATTTTACTTATCTTTGTAATATTCAGGACATCCTTTTCTGGCCCAGTCTTTAAAGGTATAGCTGATAGTAGCTTTGGTTGATCCTCCTTCTTGTACGGGCTCGCCCTTCAGTGCTTTCCTCTGGAAGCTTCGTTTTTTCACCACTAACGGCCACCCTTGACCATCTTCCTTCTGTCCTCTGCTTGTGGTCTGGCCGTTTGATGGCAGCTGGTCTTGGCGGAACCGGGAAACTTCTGTCGTGATCCTGCTTGGACCTCGTTGTTGGCCGTTCAAATTTTTCTTGTACTTTTCCTCCGCCGCTGATGGCCCTTCCGCAGTTCGGCGCGACTTTTGCTGCGGAGAGTTCTGTCGGATGAGTCAATCTTCCGTTTCACAGCCGGGTATAGTTGCCGTCCTTTCTCTCCCGGTCCTTTCCACATACGTCGTCCTTCTCCCTTCTTCATTCTGGGGATGTTCGTGAACTCTCTTTTCTGGACGGTGGAACGGCTTCTTTTTTTTTACCTTCAGTTTTTCCGCGGGGCAATTTCTTTTCACTTGCTTCCTGTCTACTCAATTGGCTTGCCCTTGTACTTGTCGTTTTCCCACCTCTGGAACTTGTACCTGCGGTGTCTGCCGTGCCGGATCCTGCAAAAGATCTGAAATTTTCATTTTATTACGATCGAAGTAGGGTTTAATTTGATCCATGTTTGCGGAACAGGTTTCACCATTTCTGCCTTTTAACACTACAACAGCGTGAGTTATTTTTCTATAACATATGGTCCTTCAAATCGTGGAAAAAATTTGGCAGTTTTATCTTCTGGTGCTGAAGAAAGTGAATGCTTAATTTTTAAAACTTCATCCCCTACTTATAAGTTACTCCCCGTCGTTTCAGATCATAGTATAACTTCTGTTTTCTTTGTGCTACTTCCGTATTCTTTTTGCTTCTTTTATTAGTTTTTCTATATCACCCATTTTAAATTCTGGGGCTCTTTGTGCACATAAAATAATTTATCTAACGGTGTTATAACCTTTCTGCCTAGAAATAACTCAGCAGGAGTTTTGCCCGTTGTATCATGTTTTGCGGTCCTAAGGGCGAAAGCAAATTCATTGACATAGTTATCCCAGCTTTTTATGAAATTTTTAACATAACTACGGATAATTTTCACTATATTTCTATTGACCCGTTCCGCTATATTTGATTGCGGCCGATACGGGACCATTTTTAAATGACGTATGCCCAGTTTTTGGCACATGTCTTCAAATATATTACTTACAAATTGAGGACCATTATCCGATATAACTTTTAGGGGCGCCCCGTATTTTAAATATATTTATTTAAAATAGAATCAGTAACTAATTTCGCGGAGGCTCGTTTTAAGGGAAACAATTTCGGTCCATTTACTAAAATGATCAACCATAACAAGGAGATAGCGATTTTTATTTAACTGACTTTTTGGGAAAGGGCCCAATAAATCGATGCCAATTATTTCATTTGGAAATTCGGATTTAATACTATTTAGAACCCGGCCGGGCGGAAATTAATATAATTAACGGCTTGACATGTTGGGCAGGACTGGACATACGCCCTTGTTAACTTTTGCAGTTCAGGAAAGTAGACTGCCTCGCGTACGCGTTGGATAGTTTTTCGAATACCAGCATGAGAAGCTAAAGGGCTGTCATGGAGCTCTTGCAGGATATTTAATCTAAGACTAGCTGGGATAACAGGTCGAAATTCGTTGTTGGAATTCGTAGTTTTTGTATAGAATAATAGACCATCTATTAGTTCGTAATGGGCCGCCCTATTTCTTATCGCCACAATATCTTGGTGGCTAAAATTTTCAGGATCCTTCAAATACTCATAAATATTCCAAACTCAGGATCCTTACCCAGTTCTGTTATTACAGTTTCTCGGGAATTTATTGTACACGCTGTCAGCATTGCAACTTTTACGGTATTACCCTGTTCGTCTATTTAATTTAATCGTGATAGGGCATCTGCTACGATATTTTCCTTTCCGGGGGTATGCTGATTACCAGATTATATTCTTGCAGCTTGAGTGCCCATCTTATTAACCTTGGGGATAATTTTTTCCCTGAGTACAATCTAGTTCCCGCCGCATGATCAGAATATACTGTTATCGGCGCCTTTCCAAATAGACTCGGAACTTTTGCACTGCTAACAGAACTGCAAGTGCCTCTCTCTCGGTCGCGGAATAGTTTCTTTGTGTTTGATTTAAAGTTCGGCTAAAAAATGCCACGGGCTGCTGATTTTGCGAAAGTACCGCTCCTACCGCATAATCCGAAGCATCCGCTGAAATTTCTAAATTTTCATCCTTTTCAGGAAATTTCAACACAGGGGCTTGCGTTAATGCTTGTTTTAATTTTTCGAAAGCACTATTGGCTTCGGCAGTCCACGAGAATCTTGCCTTTTTCCTTTTTAATTTTAAACAATGGCTCAGCGATAGCCGCAAAATCTTTATAAAGGACCTATAATATGAACAAAGTCCTAGAAAAGAAGAGAGCTTCTTTGCCGTGTTTGGAGTCGGATACTTTTGTACAGCGATTTATTTTTGATTCATCTGTCTCGATCCCTTTTTGCGATATTTGTAACCTAAATATTT